GTTTTTCTCCGGTACCAGGAACCGAACTCACGACCTTGCGCTTGCCAGGCAGGCGCTTTTGCCGCTGAGCTAAATCCCAGCCCCTCGTACCAAACTTTGATAGAAGATTCCTCTAGTTTCAGCATCTCCCCCTTTTTCTAGCATCAAATGTTACAACTGATTGATTCTTACTTCACCCAGAGCTCTAAGTCCCCCTCTTCACACAATGCCTCTGAGATCTCAAGGGGAGACACCTCGATTAGTTCCATTAAGGAAGTAAGTCTGTTTGCCCACCTAGATACCCCACAATGAAGCACTTTTTTCCCCTCAAAACTTTTAACAATTTACTACAGGCTTTCAGCTGTGGGAGTGCCTGGGTATACCACAGTGAAAGACATCCAGTCACACTCACACAGGCTTTGCAACTTGTGGCCAAAATAACTGATTACAAATGAAGTTTATGCATCAATGCTGCTGCAAGGAGGGTGCTATCCACACGTTGGGCCACTTGTAATTTAAGAGCTCAGTGATTTAACTTTCTCCATAAACTACTTTCTTGTAGATCTGTATTTTCTAGCCTGGACAGATACAGAATTAAAGGAGTAGATGCCTTTAGAGCTGCTCCGTGCTGGGTGAAACTTCACATTACCTATGTGGGGTGAGGAGAAAGCTCAGTGCTTTTTCAATAATAATGTCTTATTCTTAATATGTAGTAATTATAGCCTCTACCTGAGGTATGACCGCCAAATACCCAGAGACATGCATAAAGGGTAACGATATGAAATTATTCAACAGGTGTTGTACACGAGCCATTTTCACTGTTGGGATTAAGTACAGTCATCCCTCAGTACCTCTGGGGTACTAGACTAGGACCCTGTACTAGGATACTGGTATTCCTGGAAGCTCATGTTCTTTTTATGAAATGGCTTAGTGATCGCATATAACCTACTCACAGCTTCCCATATGACCTCCCACATAACTGAAATCACCTCTACATTACTTATGATACCCAATACAGTACAAATGCTATGTAAATAGTTTCATGTAGTGTTGTTTACGGAATCATGACAAGAGAAGACAGCCCGTATGTGCTCACACAGACACACTTTTTTCAAGTATTTTCCGTTTGTGGCTGGTTGGAAGTTCCAGGCATAGCACCCCTGGATAAGGAGGGCCAAGGGTACTTTTGATAAGAATGTAACTCTAGCTAGAGCCTCCCGACCCAAGATGGGAGGTGGGATTAATGAAAACCAGTTATAGTCCCACACATTTTACGTTGAACTCTTAAATATCTTTTTATTTTTGAAATCCAATTGCACAAAACCCATGACTGATGGGCCATTTCCTCTCTCCAACCATCAAAGAATAAAGTGATAAATTCTAAGAAAGGAAGATTATGTATCATTTACTACCATCATTCCCTTTCCCCAAAACTTGGCAAGCACGTCAGAAGGATGATGGCGGGTGGTGCATTGCGACTTGCAAAGCTAAGGTGGAGCAGGTGAGGTTAATAAAAACGGAACAGAAGGAGCGCACATTACTTCAGTACTTCTGTATGAAACGGGTGTGTCAGGGTTTTAGTTAGGAAGGGAGGGCAACGAGTATGGAAGTGCACACAACGGTGTTTACCCACAGGAGACCCCCTTTGTATCACACTGCCGAAACAACAATTTCAAGTGTTTCCTTTATTCTGAGTGGGGGGCCAACAAGTTATTGTTGGTTGTATGACTTCCAGGTAAGCTCCGCGTTAACAGCCCTTAAGGATATAATTTGGGGACTGCCCCAGATTCACATTAGGGTCCGTACTGAAAGTGTCCCTGTTGGTGTTATAGTGAGGTAACTGAAATCCCCGCGGAAAAGGGATAGCGTGCAAATACTTTTGGGAGAAAAAAATGATTTAAATTTACACTACGGATTACACGGCTAATACCAGTTCCTCCTTTGCGAGCAGGATTTTATGCTAAAGCCTGAGGCGTAGAGGCGCAGCCACGGCCCAGTCAAAGGTAGGAAACAATCTCCGTTGCCTTCCGTTCAGATCTTACGCTTTATGGACTTGCTATGGGCTGCCTTTCACAATTCTTTATTGAGCGGAGTGTAGGCAAAAAACTGCAGAAATACAGAATTAAGTCTTTATAGATATGAACCATTGCCATTTTAAAGCAAAATCTGTAAGCGAGTACTTTCACATTCCTAAATTAAAAAGCGAGGGAGGTAAGCTTCTGAACACAAATAACTGCTTAGTCACGGAAGCTTCACGTGTCTTCCTGAAATGAGAGAAAGCTCTCCAAGGTGGGCGTCCCTCTGCAAGCGCACCTGCCCCCCAGTGGCAGCTGGAGGACGCTGTTTCCCTGGTTGGCCACAGCCCCTACTTTGCTCGGGGAAAGACAAAAACAAACAAACAAACAAACAAAAAAACAAAAAAAGGAGGTAGATCATGCACCCCAAGAATTTAAACAGGACCCGGACGCGACCCCCGCGGCAGACGCTGCACTGCCTCCTCCCCGCCGGCGGGGGCGCGCGCGCCCGCTCAGATGCTCACGGGCGCCGAGGACACCGAGCTGGCCCGGGACTCGCGCGTCACGCTGTTGGGCATGGCCAGCGTGCAGCACGACACGCCCACGGTGGCCTCGGGCAGCTCGTCGTCCTCCGTCCACTCGTTGAGCTCGGGGCTGAAGCACTGCACGCACCGCTTGTACTTCTTCTCGCCCTCGTTCCAGCCGCCCACCAGGTAGGCGCGGCCGTGCAGCAGCGAGGCGCCCGCCGTGCTCAC